ACTGGGTGTACTCTGCTTCAATATGTTGACAACCGCCTGCTCACTAGATCAACCAGAGAAGATTGCTGGAAGGGAACTTGAGCGCTGCTCCACCTTCTCTCCCAGGCTGGATACAAGGTCTCAATGAAGAAGGCTCAGATCTGTCCTACTCAAGTGCAGTTCCTAAGATGCATTCTGACTCAAAGATAGCATGCTCTGACAAATCAGAGGAAGACTGACCAGGCTCCATGGCCAAGCATGAACACAAACAGGTACTAGATGGGGTGCCTCAGCCCACAAGTAGGAGACTACTGCACAAATTCCTGAAAGCAGCCAGATTCAGTAAGATTTGGATCCCAGGCTTGGCCGAGAAGGCTAGACCACTGCATGAACTATTAAAAGGCCCAGAAGAAGCCCTATTCGAATGGGGACCCCCTCCAAGAGCAGACTTTCCAGGATCTTCAGTCAAGCCTCAGGAAATCCTTGGCTTTGGGGCTCCCAGACATCACCCAAGAATTCAATCTGTTTGTATATGAAAAAAAAATCAGACAGCACTAAGAGTTCTGACTCAGTCTGTTGGACCTTGAGAGAGACCCACTACCTACCTGTCTAAAAGATTAGACCCAGTGGCATCTGGATGGCCCCCTTACCTCCAAGCCTTTGATCCCAATGTAAAACTGATTAAAAAAGAAAGACAAGTTAACCTTAGGCCAAGTTATCAATGCCCAGGTGCCTCATTCAGCGACCTCCCTGATGAACACCAGGGGATTTAAATGGTTCATCAGCTCTAGAATGCCCCACTACCAGGGCTTATTGATTGGAAATCCCCAAATTAGGCTCCAGACTCTGCAAACCCTCAACTATACCAGCTCCCTCCTAGCCATGCTGGAGCCTCCTGACCACAGTTGTGAAGAGGGCCTTGATGAGGTCTTTTCTGGACGTCCTGATTTGTAGACACACCATTGAAGGCCCCCAATCTCACCCTCTTCACTGACAGCAGTAGCTACGTGAAGGATGGAACTTGATATGCTGGCTATGTAGTTACCGCTCAGGACACAGTGACTGAGGCTGGGGCACTGCCTAAAGGGTGGTCAGCTCAGCAGGATGAACTCTGGACATTAATCCGAGCCTTAAAAGTGGTGATTATCAAAAGAGTAAACATCTACTACATGGGCTCACAATATGCCTTCGCCACCTTATACGTCCATGGGGCCTTCTATCAAGAGAGAGGACTCCCCTCTGCAGAAGAAAAAGCAGTTAAAAACACAAAAGAAATCTGCTAATTATGAGAAACAGCCTGGAAGCCAAAGGAAGTGGCAATCACCCACTGCAGAGAACACCTGAGGGAGGAGGATCCCGTCAGCCTGGGAAACTGATTAGCAGATCAGATAGCCATGGCTACTGCCAGCTGAAGCCTCACTGTTGTAAGCAGAGTGTTAGAACTCACAAGTTTCCCAAAAGCTCCCCCTTATGTCTCCAGTGAACATCATTGGGTAAAGTCAGAGAGAGCAACCCTGGAAGATGGAAGGTGGAGACTGTCAGATAAAAGAATATACGTACCTCAGTCCCTGGGATATTCGTTGATAAAGCAGCACCTCGAGCTGACTCACTGGGGAAAGACTAACCTAGAGAACATACTAGGTTGATACTATTTTTTGAGTCGCCTACCATCATTTTGCACAACTGTGAGTATGCAGTGTGAGACCTGTGCCAGAAATAACCCTGCCCAGGGCCAACTTGGCTGGCTGGAATACAAGCTACTGGGGCAACTTCCCTGGAATTGTTGGAGGCAGACTTCTCAGAAGAACGGCCATGCCAGGTCTGTAAGTACTTACTAGTCCTGGTTTGTACTTACTCAGGGTGGGGGGAAGCCTTCCCTACCCGCACTGAAAAAGCCAGAGAAGTCATTCAAGCCCTTTTGAGGAGAGTCATACCTCGATTTCGGCTTCCCCTTATAACTGGGTCAGACAATGGCCCTGATTTCATGGCAGAAGTTATACAGGGAGTGGCAAAGGCCCTGGGCATAAAATGGAAGTTTCGCACTGCTTACTGACCTCAGAGTTCTGGAAGAGTTAAATGAATAAATTGTACCCTCAAGTCCACCCTGGCTAAGCTGTGTCAGGACACTGGACGCCCCTGGGTGGATGTCCTCCCACTGGCCCTGCTCCAACTTCAATGTACACCCCAAAGACAAGGTTATTCCCCTTATGAGATTCTCTTTGGCTGGACATCCTCTTTGGTCACCCAGATCCGAACAGCTGACGTCAGTCAACTGAGCAAGGCAATCCTGACTCAAGATCTAGTGGCCTTGGGAAAAACTTTAAAGGAAATAGTTTGTGTAACCTTAGAATGAACCACCCCTGTCCCTCTCAGAAACTGGGTATACAAATATGAGTTGGAGACTTGATGTGGGTTAAAAACTGGGGAAAAAAAATCACTGCAGCCCACCTGGTTGGGGATACCTGTTGTTGTGCTTATTACCCCCACTGCAGTTGAGGTTGCAGGGCTGGCCCCTTGGATCCACCACTTGAGAGTGAAGTGAGCTGCAGCACCAGAGGATGCCGGGACCTGGATGATGCTAAACTACCCTCAGCAGCAACCAAGGTGACTTTCCAGAAGGCCAAGACCTGTCATCAGGACTACAGCCTTTCTGCCACCATTCCTGGGTTGGCTGCTCTACGCATGGTGGAAGCTTGAAGAAACTACAGCCCTGCTTTGGTCACTCTGGACGCTGACCAATCTACGCACAGCAGGAGCTTAAGGATAGAGATGGATGACACCCCAATAATACCCGTACAACCTCCTGCCTTGAAGCCATCAAATATACCTGTCATCAGGACTACAGCCTTTCTGCCACCATTCCTGGGTTGGCTGCTCTACGCATGGTGGAAGCTTGAAGAAACTACAGCCCTGCTTTGGTCACTCTGGACGCTGACCAATCTACGCACAGCAGGAGCTTAAGGATAGAGATGGATGACACCCCAATAATACCCGTACAACCTCCTGCCTTGAAGCCATCAAATATCAACTATTTGGGAGCTTGAGAACAGAGATGGATAATACCCCAATAATACCTGTACAACCTCCCGCCTTTGAAGCCATCAAATATCAACTATTTGTCACTGTCCAGAAAACTATGTTTATCACCCTCCTGTTAATTGACCCTCCTCGAGTCTGGTTGAGGAAGCTCAAGAGGAGGAATGATGTGGAGCAACCCAAGGCTGATAACTGCCTGAACCTTCTGTTCTGATATGGAAGAACTTGTGAGCAACTTTGAAGCAGCCCAGGGCTGATAGCTGCCTGGGCTTCCGATTCTCCAATGATCTAGCTGCCCCTCCCCTGAACGGTTGAGCAGCTGGAGGCCTTGGGTACGTTGAATTCTCTGCTTCTCTACCACCTCTGCATTAGGGCAGAGACTGAGCCCCTTCCCTGATACGACACTCCAAGCATGCTGATACTGCTCCTCCTCAATCCTCCCATAAAAGACTGTGTCCAACTCTCAGCCGGGGCCAGAGATTCAGAGTATGAACTCCTCCATGCCCACGGACATAATGAAACAGTTCTCTTATTTCTCTGAGTGCTGTTTATTCATTCCTTAGCATCTGGTTTTCTCCAACACTAGACATTATTTTTTCTTTCATTTTATTTCTTACAAACATGTCATTTTTATACATCTTCACTAGGTAAACTATGATTTTAGAAAGCAGGCATTCAGTGTGATAATGAAACCAAGGATATTGCTATATCCACACAGTAACCTCTGCCAGTATTTCTTTCTTTCTTCTTCTTTCTTTTTTAATTTTGAGAGATGTTTGCTGTATGGTATGTGCATTTTCCAAAGACACACGGAAAGAAAGAGAGTGGAAATGACCTACAATGGAGGATGGCCTTGCCACAATCCCTTCTCCTCCATTTTCATTTTAGGATTATGGGGACACAAGCATACATGAGTTTTTAAACAATGAGTTTTAAACAGTCGGATCCAGGACTCAAACTATGGTAGGCTACATGGGACTCCAGCAACATAAACATTATGCCATCCGCAGGCCCCTCTGTTTTTTGTTTTTTGTTTTTCAGTTATTTGCTATGGGTGAGAGAAAATGAAAAATCACCCTCCGGGGGATGGCCACACCACAATCCCTTCACATTCTCCCTCTCAGAATGTTGTAAATGCATGCCAATACACCCATCATGATATTGAAAAAAAAGAGAAAGAAAGAGAAAGTGACCCCCTGGGAGAACAGCCACAGAACAATCCTCTCTCCTCCATTCTCCAGTTAGGATTGTGTGCACACACATACACATGGTCAGCGTGCTTTCTAACCTGTTGGGACCAGGACTCAAACTGTGCACCCAGCTGTGTGGGATCCAGTTGCCATAACCACCATGCCACAGGCTGGCCACCACCCAGCATCTGTTCCACTTTACAATCCCATCTGTAATATGCCAGTGTTCCCATCTCTACACGCTCTTGCCGACTATCATTATTTCCTAGTTTTTCATCTGCGTTCTCCCAGCACAGTGTCTCTGTGGTCCTGACTTGCCTTTCCCTAATGACTACAGGTGGCTTTCAACATTGGCTAAGGGGTCCGTAGCTGGCATCTCTTTAGACACTACACAGCCTTGGTGAGCATCTTCACTCATGCCTTCAGAAACATCATTTCAAGGAGGACCAGCAGGAGGTGAGTTGGTTAAGTCTCTGGATTCTTACATGTGTAACTCTGATTCAGGTCTAGACCCGGTAACTTGAAATACACATGGAGTGCGTGTGCATTCATACCCAAAACCTCTAGAGGAGAGTGTGTGGGAGAAAAGATTGTGGCATGACCATTAGCCCTTGGAGGTGATTTCTCACGTTCCTTCTCTCTGTCTGTCTCTATATAAGCACATGGGCCCTATAGCAACAAGCTCGCTCGCTCTCTCTCTCAAAATAAAAGCCACTAAGCAAAACTCCTAGGAAATAAAAGGTGGACTTCATGGAACCAGATAGAGGAGTCTAACCACACACAAAGAGCTCTCACCTCCACCGGGGCCAGGACGTACACATTGGAGTGTATACCGTTGATTGGAGTTGACTCCTGCAGGTAAACAATGACAACGCATGATTAAAGGAGAAACGTATCCTTCCCCTGGGAGCCCCCTGCAAAGCGAGCACATCCACTGTCTATGGATTTCACGTTTCCACCTCATTTGCTCATCTGGGCATCTTCATAGACGACCATTGTCTGGCTAAGACAATGACTTAGCCACCAGCAGGAAGACCTCAAGACTGAAGGAAAATTTTAAAAGGCTCATTTTTATTCTCAGAAGTATTTCCTTTTAATTTTCTATATTTTGTATATTTAATAGTTATATATCTCCATGGGGGTAAAATATGGTTTTCTAAGGCATGCATTTGGTGTGATAACAACACACACACACACACACAAGGATATTGCTATATTCACACAGTCACCTGTGTCAGCAATTTTTCCTTCTTTCTTTTCATTTCTTTTTTTAATGTGAAAGAAAATGAAAAATCACCATCTGGGGGAATGGCCATGCCACAATCCCTTCTCCATTTTCCTTTCAGAATCTTGGAAATGCACACCAATGAACCTAACATGATATTCAAATAAAGAGAGAGAAAGAGAAAGCGATCCCCAGGGAGGACAGCCACACCACAATGCTCTCTCCTCCATTCTCCTGTTGGGATTTTGTGCACACACCCACACACATGGCCAGTGTGTTTTCTAAGCTGTGGGGTTCCAGACTGAGACTGTGCACCCAGCCACGGGGGATCCAGTGGCCATGACCACCACGCCAAGGCTGGCCACCACCCATCATGTTTACAGCATCTATCCCTCTTACACTCCCATCTGTAATATGCCAGTGTTCCCGTCTCTCCACACCCCTGCTGACGGTCATTACTTTCCTAGTTTTTCATCTGATTCTCCCAGCGCAGCGTCTCTGTGGTCCTGACTTGCCTTTCCCTAATGACTACAGGTGGCTTTCAACATTGGCTAAGTGGTCCGTAGCTGGCATCTCTTTAGACACTCCACAGCCCCAGGGAGCATCTTCACTCATGCCTTCAGAAACATCATTTCCAGGAGGGTCAGCAGGAGGTGAGGAGGTTATCGCCCTGGATTCTCACACATGTGACTGTGGTTCAAGTCTAGACCCAGCAGCTTGAAATACATGCCAAGTGCATGTGTGTGTATGCCCAAAATCCTGATTGGAGAGTGTGGGGAAAAGGATTGTGGTGTGGCCATCGCCCCTGAGGGTGATGTCTCACGTTCCCTCTCTCTGTCTCTCGGTCTCTCTGTCTCTATATAAACACACATGCCCTATAGCAAAAATCTCTCTCTCTCTCTCTCTCTCTCTAAAAAGGCAACTAAGCAAAACTCCTAGGAAATAAAAGATGAACTTCATGGAACCGGACAAGGGGAGTCTAACCGCACATGAAGAGCTCTTACCTCCACCAGGGCCAGGGCGTCCACATTGGAATGTATACCACGGATTTGGATCAACTCCTGTGGGTAAACAATGACAATGCATGATTAAAGGAGAAATATTCCCTTCCCCGTGGAGCCCCCTGCAAAACAAGCGCATCTACTGATTTCACGTTTCCAAGTCTGCTCGTCTAAGTGTCTTTATAGATGATCCTTGTCTGGCTACAAAAATTACTTATCTCCCAGCAGGATGACCTCAGGATTAACATAAAAAATTTAAAAAGCTTATATTTGTACCTAGACATTATCTTTTAATGTCTTACGTACATATAATTGTTTTACATCTCATGGGGTAAAGTATGGTTTTTGAAAGCATGCACTTGGTGTGATAATCAAACCAAGGATATTGCTATATTCACACAGGGACCTGTGCCAGCATTTCTTTTCTTTTCTTTTCTTTTCTTTTTTGAACGTTTTTGTCATAAGCGAGGAAAAATGAGAAGTCACTTTCTGGGGGGCATGGCCACATCACAATCCCTTCTTCTCCATTTTCCTCTCAGCATCTTGGAAATGCGTGCAGACGCACCCAGCATGATATTTAAAAAAGAGGGAGAGACAGACAGGAACCCCCAGGGAGGACAGCCACAGGACAATTCCTTCTCCTCTGCTCTCCTCTAGGGATTTCAGGAATGCACACAGACACACGTGGTGTGGGTTTCAAGGCTTCTGGTCTATCACTCGATCTGTGGTCAGCCACGTGGGAGCCCAGTGACGTAATCACTATGCCATCTGCTTAACCCTTTGGACACTGTCTTCTGAGCCATTCAGCAGGCAGGAAGCAGCCTCAGCCCCTCGATTCCTGCATCTCCGTCCCAGGGGTGCTAACGAGGTGCCCACACCCTCCCTCCGGTTGGGGTTCACAGACTCCCCACAGCTATGTGTCAGGGCACTGCACGCACCTCAGGAGCTGGAATTCCGAATTCTCAGATGGCCAATGACAGTCACCACATTGGACCTCGTTCATCCAAGCAAGTCCAGGATCCCTAAGCAATGGCTCTGCCATCTCCCCCGATGAGGGCGCCCTGCCCCTCCCGGCCATTGTCCCAGATCTCCAACAGCCCCTGTGCTGTCTCTCCTCCCGCCCTCCCTGAAAGGCTCTTGCACAATACGGGTAGGTGGAACCTGGCTGTTATCAGGAAAGAGATGCGCTTCTGCAGATAGGATCCCGCCCAGAGCTGGGGAGGCGGGCGGCCAGGGCCAGCTCCAGTTGCTCTGGAAATCACCTACAATGGCTTCCTTCCCCATCCTAATACAATGGGGTAATTCCCCATCCTAAATCATCCCGTGCCCTGCTCCTTGCACATGTGTGTGCATAGCTTTGCCGGTCCAGATAACCTCCGAAGGGAGGCAGGAAGAGGGGAGAGGGTGTGGAGGAAGTGAGCCTGTCGGTTTGCGGCTTTGCAGGGTTTCAGGGTGCACTGCACACAGCACTTGCTGTCGGCATGACTCACACCCACGGCAGAAGGCTGGTCTCACTCAAACTCGTTAGAAAACCAGGGAAGACTCCAGCGCGCACAGAGACAGCCTCTCCTCCTTGTGCCCAGACACGCTCTCCCCACCGGAATCAGGGCACACACATTGCAAGGGTCTCCATGTGCTTTAAGCCTGTGTCCAAGGTAGGAGAGGACCCAGTAGAGGATGCTAACTCTCGGGGCTCCATCCCAGGGGTGGCCTGTTCACAGGTAATTGCTTTTGCGGGGCATCTTTCCCCACTGGGAACCCGAGATGTGTTTCTCGCATGTCACGCTTTCGCTTTCTGAGCTCAGCAACTCTTAAGGAAACCCTCATGTTCCGATTTCTCCCCGAGGAGAAAGCAAGCTCGTTTTGTCTTGGGGTTCTCACACTGGCCCTCACTGCTGGGTCTCTGGGGAGGTGGGCTTAAAATACTTCAGACTGGTGGGAGGGACCATAATCATTACCATGAGACCACATGTGTCCCCAAAGCCTTACTGCTCTGGGACCTTAAGAGCAAACCACATTACAGGACCAACAGGTGACATGGTGGTAAAGGCACTGGATTCCCACGTGGCCGAATACGGTTCGAGTCCCAGACCTGCTGGCTTGATTTCTCTTTCTCCCTCTCTCTTTCAAGCACATGCGTCCTATAGCAACATTTAAAAATAACAGTAAGTTAAATTAAATAAATAAATAATTGTTGGGACTAGCAGATGGCATAGTGGTTACATCGCTGGATTCCCAGGCTTGAAAATCACTCCAGGCGTATATGCATGTGTGCCCAAAATCTTGAGAGGAAAATGGCAGAGAAGGGATAGGAGCGTGGCCCTCCCCCTGAGGGGTGATTGCTCTCTTTCTCTGTGTCTCTTTCTCCGTCACTCTGGCTAGTGCTTACATCCTATAGCAAAAGTCTCTCTACAATAAATATTTTAAAAGGAGAGAAAAAGATACACTGAATGGCCCTTGGAAGAGTTCTTCTATCCCCTGGAGGAAACGAACCCTTGCTAAGTTCAAATTTCATCTCTACAAGATTCCAAGATGGTTGCTACTGGAGTTTTATTCTCTTGAAGTTCTTTTTTTTTTTTTTCTTTTTCTGGAGAGGTTTTTGCTATAGGGTGCATACGCTCGCCAGACAGACCGAGAGAGAGAGATAGAAAACGAGAAATCACCCCCCAGGGGGGATGGCCATGCCACAATCCCTTCTCCTCCATTCTCCTCTCAGGGTCTTGGCCATGCACACACACATGCCTGGCGTGAGTTTAAGCCACCGGGTCCGGGACTCGAACCACAGTCGACAACGTGGGAGTCCAGCGACATAGCCATTACGCTAACTGCTGGTCCCTCTCCTGAAGTTCTAAGTCTGCTCAGACCCACGGACACGTTGGCAGACACCCGCTCGTAAGGCAGAGCTCAGCGTTGTTCAGGGCAGTAAGAGCTCCCCTGTGGAAGTCAGTGCCGATCCTCGATAGAGATTCCTGGCCACCTGGCAGAGCCATTCTGCAGGACGGGAGAGAGAAACGCACCCATGTCCAGCCCTCCACTCCCCCATGGCTTATTTACGTCCATCTAAAGGAGGAAACCAGCCCCAGGGGGGGCTCTGAAAAAGAAGGATAATAAAAAGAAAAAGCCAAAGATGGTGTGAGGCTCTGATACCAACTCCTACAGTTACAGCAGAACTTCCACACCTCCAAGTTGGACTCAAGGCTACTGCATCCCTCTGGGGACAGCAGCCACCCCGGTAATGCAGACAGAATCTTCTAATCCATGTTTCAGACCCACGCCTTTTTATCCGAGTCCACCAGAGAGACGTCTCCCTTTAAGGCAATTGCTTTCTATTGCTTCTTTTAGGATTTTACTGGTTTCCTTCGAAGTGTGGGTGAATGTAAAGAGATCTTGCTGGGATCAGCTGCGGCAGACTAAGCCATTCCTTGAGGCTTAAATCTACACCACCTTTCTGTCCTTGAAGAATTCCTCTGAGGACACCACCATGGGAGTCATGTGGCTCTCACAAGGACCCCACGGGAACACATATGGACTCCCTTCAGGCACACAGTGGGGCTGTCCTTTGATTTGGGTTCAACAGCTTTTAAAAATATGTGTACAGAGTTGTTTGTTGGGACTTGGAGAAGCCCGTCTTGCCCCAAACCCCGTGACATCAGGACATCTGCCCCAGAATGCTTTGCTGCAAGGTGAGCCATTGGAGCAGCTGGGAGGGTGTTGCAGTGTGTGGCTCTTCTCCTCCACCATGGGACTTGGAATTCTCACTGGGACTTGGAGAAGTCCAATAGCAAAAAAATCACCTTAAAAAAATGAAAGAAAGAATAAAAGAAAGGAAAGGAAGAAAGAAGGAAAGAGAGAGAGGAAAGAAAGAAAGAAAGAAAGAAAGAAAGAAAGAAAGAAAGAAAGAAAGAAAGAAAGAAAGAAAGAAAGAAAGAAAGAAGAAAGAAAGAAAGAAAGAAAGAAAGAAAGAAAGAAAGAAAGAAAGAGGGATGGAGAGAGGAAGGAAGGAAGGAAGGAAGGAAGGAAGGAAGGAAGGAAAGAAAGAAAGAAAGAAAGAAAGAAAGGAAGAAAGAAAGAAAGAAAGAGGAAGGAAGGAAGAGAGAGAGAAAGGAAAGAAGGAAGGAAGAAAAAGAAAAAAGGAAAAAGAAAAAGAAAGACAAAAAGAGAGAGAAACATAAAGGTAGAAAGAAAGGAAAAGGAAGAAAGAAAAGGATGGAATACACTACACATTGTATTCTGTAGAAGTTGGGCTGCCTGGAGAGATGTGGTTGAACTTTGACTCTCCTGCAAAGAGAATAAATTCTCAGAAGCATTTTCTAGGGAACTGGGTTGCCATCGAACACCTCTGTGTGTACACCTTCAGCTCTTGTATCAATGTCGGGGCAGCATCTCCCTACAAATGCATTTTCGGGGTGGGGGTTCCACGCACTGTGCAAAATCTAAGCACAACACCAAGGAGAAGAAAGACGGAGCTGAAGAATGCGCTCTCCATGCCAAGATCTATCCCTGAACATTGTATGCCCACAAACCACCAGCTCCTCCTTATAACTGTCCTTAGACAAGATAAACAGGAAAGGCCATCACAGAAGCATCTGAATACAGTCTTTTCATTCCTGAGCATCAATACACTTCACTTTTAAGTTTCACTTGACTGCTTCATTTTCAGGAGTCACAATGTGAAAATGAACCCCAAAAAGTAATTGCTGGTCAAAACTCACACTTTAGATGCTCATTATAATTTCTTAACTAGGACTCCTGAGGAACCAAAAACAAGCAAACAAACAAAACAACCCATTTCTGGCATCTGAGAAAGACAGAATACTAGTTAATGAAGTTCTAGGTATGAACACGTCTGATGATTATCATATGCAAAAAATAACCGTATATGAAAGGGTTTAAAAAAATTGTAAATTGATGATACCACCCTTTGGGCAAACCTAATCTTTGGTAAGCTCTCCCCAGGATGAAGTTATGTTTCCACTACAGTTCACGATATAAAAATAGCAAAAACTGATTATTATATATATATATATACTTAAAAAAACACAACTTACATTTACCATCCACCCAGTGGTACATAAACCATCCCATAAACTAAGGCACTTTTTAAATGCACAAGACACACTGGTCAGAGGCAGAGAACACAGTTACTATCTAAATGCTTTTAGCTCGCTTCCTGCTTTTCTGGATCTAATTTCCAGACCCCAAATTGGCACCTGTCCCCTCTCCCTCCCTCCTAGCCATCTCTCTCTGTCTCCTTTTTAATCTCTCCTGACACATGAAAGCCATTTACTTCTCTTTACTGAGAAAAGAGATTTCAAAAGCCAAGAGAGAGAAATCCACACCCGCGCAGCTAGCCCTGAAAGCCCAGCGCTTCTTACCTGGAGCGTGCATCAGAAAACACAGGAGCAAGAAAGGAGAGAGTCTCCTCCAGGGCTCCATTGTTCAGTTCAGGACGATGGAACAATCGTCAGTGAACACCCCAGCCAACAGGGTTGTGAGATGCGGGCACCCGCCCTCGGCTTGTTGACTTCCTGTGCCCAGCTTCAGG